GTTGGATGTAAACATGGTATGGTTGGATGTAAACATGTTATGGTTGGATGTAAACATGGTATGGTTGGATGTTAACATGGTATGGTTGGATGTAAACATGTTATGGTTGGATGTAAACATGGTATGGTTGGATGTTAACATGGTATGGTTGGATGTAAACATGTTATGGTTGGATGTCTATTATGAGCTTTATTCACAACTATAAACTCAGTGTTTTTATTTCAAACACAACTGCACATCAGACTGGTCTGAAGGGACTTACTGTAACCTTATTTAATGATGTGATTATAAATCCTAACTGATCTAATTTTATCACAACATGATTCAGTTTTTGAGCACTCAGTCAGAGGCTGTGTTATTACTGTGTTATTACTTTACTATTTCTTTTGTTTTTGAATCAAAATGTTGGTAAATTAATCAGTTTGTAACTCAGCTCACTATTTGACCAGAACAGGTTTTTCCTCACTGGTTACAAAAGAAAAGTTTATTAGTGAACTTAGCAGAATAAAGTTGGTTTATGTCAGAGTTTCTCAAACGTTCTGGTCTCTTCTGCCATCTTGTGGCAAAGTTCATCCAAACTGAATCACATCGAAGACACACCAACCACATTCAGAAGTTGTTTTTTTATTTTTTACAAATAACTTAACTGTTACAAAGACAGTTTTCCCAGCTGAAATCAGAAATACTTTGTAATAAACCATGTCTTCACACCGAGGTGCAGAAAAGCTGAAAACTGGATTTCTTTTTTTCGGGGGGAGGGGGTTGGAAAAAAGGAAGAAGTGCTTAAGAAACCATAAATCATCATCTACTTCTAAATGGGTTTACATAACGCTAAAAATTTGGTTTAAAAAAAGACACTTGAATTTTATAGATTGTCAATACAGACTGAAAGGCACTGATGTAAGGCAGCAGTTCAAAGGTTTAAAACAGAAACAGCTCCACAGTTCAGGTCTTAATATCAGTAAACTGTGTGTTGGAGGATGAACCGGGTCAATAAGAACCAGCAGTTCCCATCAGGAGGGAGGTTTGTTGTGTTTCAGGCACAGAGGAGAAAACATTTCAATCAGAAAGAAGCTCTCACTGGACTGTGACTGCTGCAGACATGTCCCAGACTCAAAGCTCTGACACAACATGAAACACTTTGTTTGGTGATTATCACCACGACAGGCAGGTTTTATAGATACTGAGCTAATCTGGTTCACCTCCGTCTGTGACGTGTGTTTTCTTCAAATACAAAGTCAAAGAAAACACCTTTATTTTTAAATGGATCATGATTAGTTGTAACATTAGATTTTATTTGATAAAAAATAATTTAAATGTAAAATAGACTGTAAAAATACTGTAGGATGTTTAGTTTTTATCATTTTTAAGAATATATTTTATCATTTTTAAAATATATTTTAACACGGACGGAGCCATTTTATTTGCACACAAAGCATTCTGGGTAAATGATGACGTGGATAGGTCCTCGGTGCGAGGCTGCTAGCGAGGTTAGCCTGTTTGTCGTGCTAGCACTGAGCTAATACATATAAGGTAATATAGCGTCGGCGCTAAAGCTAACAGGCTAAGCTGAGGTTGTTCTTCCATGAAGCAGCTCTGTTGTCCTCCATCCATATTTTCAGTTCCAGGCTGAGTCATTTCTACCTTCTCCTCTCTGTCAACGCTCTCTGGTTTCATTTAAAAGAGTCGATCATCAGATATTGTCCAAGATTAACCTTCAGGGTGGATATAGCTCGCTAGCAGCCTCGCACCGAGGACCTATCCACGTCATCATTTACCCAGAATGCTTTGTACGCAAATAAAATGGCTCCATCCATGTTAAAATATATATTTTTAAAATTTACAACACTAAACAGCCTACAGAATTTTTACAGTCTTTATTTTACAGTTAAAATATATGTTTATTAAATAAAGTTTAATGTTACAACTAATCATGGATCATTTTAAAGACACAGTGTGTAGGTTTTTATCAATTCTTTTAGCTGAAATTGAGATAATCACTAATGACAATAATAAAAAACATGTATATTCATTGCAAAGACCTTGTTTTATTATTTTTACCTTATAAAAAGCTGTTTATGTCTCCATGGTCGCGGGTCACCACTACAGGCAGCCGCCATCTTGTCTACGAAGGCTCATGAAGGACAAACTGCGGTGGCGGCGTCAAAAACGGTTTTAGTTGTAAAACTATAAATGTAATATTTGTTGTCTGTCATTGTAGCTGGGATAATTTTACTTATTAAAGCTCATAATCTTACCACTTGAAACATCACTAGCCCTGAAGCTGCTGGTAGACATCGTGTTGGAATTATCAAAGGTTTTTGACCCCTGAGAGACACCGTAGCAACTCCTTTGTGTTTGGAAGCAGGGGGGTGGGGGTGGGGGGAGGACCAGGAAGGATGATTCAACCACTCAACCACTAGATGTCGCTGAAAACAACTAATCCTACACACAGTGCCTTTAAGAAACTTGGTATAAAACATCATTTTAGCCATTTTGTCCAATAACTACAGTAAGTCTACTCTTCGTTTATTGAAACAACATTATTTGAAGTCTTCATCTGTGATAGACTCAAATAATAAACATCAGATTCTTCTCTACAGTCTGTTGTTGGTCATTATAACAAAGCTCTGTTCACATGCAGACGTTCCCCTCTGACATCACTTCCTGTTACTGCACATGTGAATATCTCAACAACTATTCAGCACAGCAACTTGAAATCTTTATTTTTGCAATCTTAATGTTATCTTTCCAAAAATGTATTTGTATTTATTACAAGTTTGATGTCATGGGTTCTTCACAGACTGCTGGACAGAACTGAAAACGTTCAGAAACTCTTCGATGACAAAATAACTTTTAGAAGTACCACAACTCAACACTGTGTAACAACTCAGTAAAATTTGATGTGGAGGTATTTTTGTTTACTCATGATTAGTTTTTGAAGCATGCACAGATTTTATTTTGAAGCTGTTGTGAACGGTGTTGGAGCAGTACTTTTAGAAGTACCACAACTCAACACTGTGTAACAACTCAGTAAAATTTGATGTGGAGGTATTTTTGTTTACTCATGATTAGTTTTTGAAGCATGCACAGATTTTATTTTGAAGCTGTTGTGAACGGTGTTGGAGCAGTACTGGTGCTTTAACACCATGGTGTGGGTTTTGGACCTGGACCTTAGTCCAGGATGTTTCCAGTCTTGGGGACAGAGGTAAGACTGTACGACTGTGTTCAGGTCTCTGGCTGTTGGAGAGTCCCTGGGGAACACTGGCCACAGTCACAGCCCAGTGGAACCTCACACAAACCCAGTCCAGGGTCCTACATGAACCAGAACTTTAAACCCGTTGATCCTGAATCACTTGTTAGCCTCCAGGTGCAGCTGTTGCCCCGAAACACTGATTCTACATTCCAGTCAGATAGGATGGCACTTTGTCTTTTTGCTTTTTGTTTCTCACCCCCCACCCCCAGCCCCACCCCCAGCCCCGAGACAGTCCCAAACAAAAACAACCAAAACAAAACAACAACCCACTCCTCCATCATTTTGACTCTTTACATGAACAGATGAACACATGAAAGTCTGCACAGACACAAGCTGAAGGCAGCAGAGCTTCATGTGACTGAGGGTTTGACCTGCTCTGCTCCTCCTCCTGCAGAGCTGCACCTCCCACAGGGGAAACCAACCCATCAAGTCTACAAAGCTAATTACAGGAAACACAAGTGATTCGTAGAGTGAGGAAGACGATTTGAAAAGCTTTTTTCTAAAATTATGTACAGCCTAAAGCTGCAGGAGCTTCTGCCTCCGTACACTGTTCACAAAGCATGCAACTGGTTTCCTTCTCCTCTTGAAGTCATCACAGAGTGGACAGACAGGAGGTGCTGAAGGGTCAGCTAAAGGCAGCTGTTCCATAACAGGTCCAGCAGTGGTCTTAGTTTCCCCTCAGGGCTGAACACTTCTCACCTGGATCAGCTAAAAGCACACCTGTGTAGGGCCACACTGGTAATACTGGGAGTGGAAGCAGCGAGGGCTCCCTGGGGCCTTCAGTGTCACCCAGCGAGCAGAAGAGGGGGAACCTGATCCGGGTCTCTGAGGTGAGGTGTGATCCGACCATCCAGGTGAGCCTTCAGTGGACAGCATTCTGCACACCTCAGACAGGAGAAACACCAAGAAACTGGAGGAAAACAGGCCACGATGTACCCCCTCAATCCTCGTACACCTCAAGACCAAGAAAAAACTCAAAGGACCGGGGGGCGGGGTCTATTCTAATGTGCAGAGGAGGGGGGCCGCGTGCCTCGGTGGCTCAGAAACGCCGCGGGAATTCACACTGTTCACAGCGGTCCAGGGCAGGGTGGTTGAGGAAAGTGCAGGCGGTGCAGCTCCACTGCATTCCCTCGTCCTCCTCCTGGTCTGCGCTGGGGGGCTTCACAGCCTTACTGCCCGGGTCTGAGGAGCAGAACACAGAGGTCAGGGTGGGCTGCAAACATTACCTCCTGTCACATGACACGTGGCTTCAAAGCAGGGGCTCAGCTCATGTTTACAGGCTGCAGCTCTGCTCTGTCAGATGATCGGAGCAGGTGGGCTCAGCACAGACCGACGGTCCAACTAAGGTCAGCAGGACCCCTGTGAGCAGGACACAGCTGCTGGTGTGCAGCTTCAGATGGTAAATAAACTGCTTTAATCAAAGAGGACAGAAGCTGCTGTCATTTAAACAAAGAGAGTAAAAAATAAAGTGTTTATGTCAGGACCTGTCAGCTGACAGGATGAAGTTGATCAGTTTAACAGACAAACATCACAGGAATGTCAGGAAGTCACCGAGTTTAAAATAAACTTTAATAATAGGAAAACTAATAAATCACATCAATTATAAACAACTTCAATATTTCTGCCAAAGTTACACAAACTGGTGCTGTGTGTTGACAACAACATGGTGATGATACATCACCATATACTGCCATATGTTGTCAAATATTATTATAAACTGTGATGTATGGATACTGTCAGCAGTGATGGTGACAATTTTTGGTTAAAAATGTTTTGAATAAAAAAAACTATAAAATCACCACCATGCTTTACATGCTAAATTTAGTTTTTATTGTATTTTTACTTAATTGTATTTGTATTTTACATTTCTTCATACGACATCCAAACGACTGACTGACTGCTGCCTCACAGGCTGAAATACTTTAATTAAAAATCAAAGTGTCAGAAAATTAAAGATGGCTGTACTTCAGTGTTTCATATGTTCTTACAGCCACATTTATTCTTTTTAAAATAATAAAACACAAACAGACCCACTGAATACATGAACAGTGTGATGATGTTAAACTAAATAAAAACAGTTGTTTCAGTGCACACACCCAACGGTTTGTAAGCAGTGTGTTTAACAGAGTCTGAACAACGCACTGTTTTATTCAACTATTTACAATAAATAATAAATAATAAATAAATAATAGATAAAATAATTAAAATAACTATGGTAATGTTGAGGTTTTGTAGTGTTTTCTTTTTGTTGTAGTCTGGTTGAACAAAGTGAGGCGTGGTGTGAAATGTCAGGAGCACAGCTTTAAAACCATGCTGATGCTCAGGTGGACACCATGGAGCTGGAAGCACCAAACTAACACAATAACACAAACTGCTTCCACTCACACTGGATGAGGAGACTGAAGATGGAGGTGGAGCTGTCTGACATGAACACAAGCCTGAAGTGAGACGGTCTGCTGGGACTTACCAACACATGAAGTACCTTTGGGTTTTGGTGGGACAGGACCAAGGAATCCAAGGTTGTCATAGAAGTTATGGATTACACTGGGATTTAAGTGTGGTCCTGTAACACAACACAACACAACACAACACTGGGATTTAAGTGTGGTCCTGTAACACAACACAACACAACACATGATGACACACAGAGCAGCTCTCCTGGACACGAGGAGGAAGGATGGTTTTGTTTAACACCATCATGTCAACTCAACGCTGTCCTGTGGAACCAGCTGCTCCCAGTTCCTCCTCATGGAGCTGCTGGAACCAGTTTGAATCATCAGTGATACAAACTATCAGCTGACGCCTTGTAAAGATGGTTAAAAACAAACGAGCAGATATAACATCTGTTTCTTCTTTCTGATGCCTTTCATTTTATTAATTAATTAATTAATTAATTAATTAATTAATTAATTATTTAGCAGAACCTGATGCAATAAATTTTAATTCACAAATACAACTTAAACTTTATTTTTCTTAAGAAGGTGCATTTTTCAGGTTTTTAACTGTGTTTGAATGAATTAAACTAAGTTGTGATATAAAAGCTGTCTGAGTGAGAGGAACAGCTCCTGTCAGGGGGGCAGTAAATCTCCTCTTACCCACCAGCAGCAGGATGCAATTCAGGAAGAGTTGGTAGTTAAAGCACAAAGGCCACACCCTGACTGTGTGCCAGGAGGCCTGAGCACTGCAGCTGCAGGTTCATAAAGTCCTCTTCAGTCTGGACTTCCTGCTCTACAAACACAACGAGGAGGAGGACAGAGAGTCGTACCGTTTGTTTGAAGAAGATCTATTTCTTTGCTAAGGCAATCGATGTCGATCTGCAGCGTCCTGTTTTTGCATCGCAAATTCTTCATTTCATCAATCTGAAAAGACAAACAGGAGCAATGAGACCGCTGACATTTAACTGCATGTCTCTTTAACAGGACAGATCTTATTTCAAACGTCAATAAAGAGGCTCGTTTAGGAAACAGAACAAAACAACTTGCTTCATCCTGTTACTTGTTCAGTAGATCCTGTTTAAGCTCAATAATCTGGTTTTAACAGTAGAAACTGTGAGTGTGGCAGGATGTTAAACTCTGCAGTCTAACAACAACAAACCAAACAACAACTCAATCAGCCAACCTGACTACACCCAGACTCATTTTACCTGAAGGTCCAGCTACAATCAGAACATTTGTGTTCTGCTGAAGGACATTTGTTTTTTACCATTTGAAACCATTTTAAAGAAAACAAACTGTTTTGTTGCTCTGAAAATAAACAAGAATAAGAGCAGCACAATCTGCTGTTTCAGAGAAGATTTAGCTCATTTTTCACCTACTGAGCTCTACTGCTCATCCCACAGATGCATGTTCCTTACAAATGTGGCACCATTTCAAAGGTAATTTAACAGGCTTTCCAACTTTATAAGATTTATAGCCAAGAAGCATTGTTACAATAAAAAAATGATCTATTAAACACTTATTCCCTTACTTTTTGTGCTCAGTACATATGTTGTATATGCTGTTAAGTGCCAGGAGGACTGCGACCAGTTATACATCGGGGAAACAAAGCAGCCACTGTTCAAAAGAATGTCCCAACACAGACGAGCTACATCTAATGGCCAGAACTCTGCAGTTTTCACTCATTTACAGGCCAGCGGTCACTCTTTCAGAGATGAGGATGTTCTCATTCTTGATAGAGAGGAACGTTGGTTTGAGAGAGGAGTAAAAGAAGCCATTTTTGTAAAGAAAGACCGTCCATCATTAAACAGAGGTGGAGGCCTCCGTTTTCAGTTGTCCCCCTCCTACAGCGCTACCATTGGCAGTATCACTCCACCCCCTGTTAACAATAGGTGTTAATTAGGTGTCAACGATAGCCATGTGATGTGAGTATCAGTCACATGGAGGCWGGGCTTAAAAGCCTGAATTTAGCCTGAAACTCTCAGACTGAAGAAGTCTCTTGGAGGAGAGACGAAACGTTTCATTAGAGAAGAACCCGTCCAGAAGACCTATACTATTGTTTTTTTCAATAAATATGGTCATCTTGGGGAATATTTAAAACTTTTTTCAAAGTTGCTCATCTATCTTTCATTTTTTAAGATATTCCCACATTGTTACAGTAATTTAAATTAAAAACCTTTGTACTATAATGTATATCTGTAAGAAGTATGAAAAAGCAAAGGTTGACAGTGAAGCCAACAGTTCCTTGAAGAATGTGAGAGTTTTTCTTACAGAAGGAATTTGGGAGGCTGAGTTGGATCTCTCCAAGCGTCTCCTGGTCAGGTCATTTTCCATTTCGTTCACCTCCTCTTTTAGTTTCTCCAGCTTCTTCTTCTTCATTTCCAGCTCATGCCAGAGTCTGTCCATTCGAGCTTTCTGATGGACCAACAAAGCTGAAAGTTCAGACAAATGTGACTGTTAGTAGATTATCTGCAACAAACACAAATGTGTTTGTAAAATAAATTCATTAAGAAACATCGATCAGTTCCAGAAAGCAATGAAAAGGGAAAACAAAGATTTTATTGCTGTTTCTACATATTACAAGTTTAGACACTTTCCATAACTACAAACAAGAAAAACCTGCAAACAATAAATAAATAAATAAATAAATAAATAAAAAGCCTCTCGGTCTGAAAAGTGGTGCCAATGGTCTTGTGGTGTAATATCACAGATGTCCACTGGGGGCAGACTGACATCATCTCCAGCTCCAACAATCCTCAATATAAAATCAAGGCTTTGAACCCTGCTTCACAAAGCTGTTGCTAACATCACAGAGGAGTTTTATTTGGTTTTGTTTAGATAATCTATGACAGGGTGATTCACCTAAATTTGTCCAGGGGCCACACTTACTGCAGGCCAACAGCTCAGGGGCCCAACATCCAGCAATTAACGTTATTATGTAAATAAACCAAGTGTTACAAACACCTGTTACCTTTTAAATAGTTTTACTTTGCTGCATTTAATCATGAAAACAACATACAGAACCCTGTGTAATAAATGTAGTGATAAAACAAAATCAAAAACAAAAATAACACATTTTGCCTCCTTTTTAACACAAATATTATTTTGACTTCTGACATGCCAAATTTTTAAACACATTTTATTTTCAATTTCATAGTTTTATCTTCACACCTGATGTGTTGAATGAGTGATTAACATGCTTCGTTCTTATCTGCTGATACATATTTATTTATTATTTTTCTTTATGTTGTGCTTTATGTATTCCCTTTAAAAATGTCTAAATATAATATAACAGAGCTCATAAACAGGATTTTGTGGCTTCTGCTCCATCTTTACAGTGTTCAGTGAGACAAGAGGATGTGTTAAAAATAATGCAGGTTTCTTTAAAAACTCTACATTAGGTTCTGAAAAGGACCAAGAAAATTATTCTATTTTTGTTAATTTTTCTTACGTTCATGTTTAAACCCATGTTTACACAGATTCACTGTGACATCATGAACACATGACAACAACTAACCTCATGGACAACACTTCATTCTCTCAAGTACTGAGACTTGAAAGGACCAAACTAGATTCAGCCTCCTACAGACGCTTGATTGGAAATGTTCAGTTATTTTTATTTCTTTTTTCTGCTGCAGGATGTGTGTTCATACTGAACATGGAGTCCTACGTCCCAACAAGATGGACGACAGGACCCAAACCCTTCCTGACAGGGGTGGAGCCAGACATTTTCTCAAGGGTGACCAGGAAAATTACAGGATTTTTTTTACTTGAAAGTTTCTGCAGATCTTTGTGTTTTTGTCTTTTCCTCATGTCCTCATACAGGCAGTGACTGCCTTATAAACATGGTGTCTGAACCATTTTGAAAGTAGGGGACACACTGTTGGGGGGTCTGGGGGTCCTCCTCCTGAAAATTTTAGACAAAACAGATGCCATTTCCTGCATTCTGGTGTATTATACCAGGTTGTTTAACAAACTCTTACCTACATAAATAAACACTTGATTTAATAATTATTTCAGACACAGATTATTCATTAAACTAGTTCCATCATCCTGTTTTTAAACTCACTGCTACAGCTGAGATAAGGTTAATTAATGTGACACAATTTATCATATCCAATGACTTTAGGGTGCTTTTTAATTTTATGTTTTTTATTGTTTATTTTAATTGTTACATGTCATTGTGCCAAATGATGACTTTCAACTGCATGTTTAAAACTAACATTTTAAATTTTACCCAATTAATTTAGTGGATTTAGAGGAGTTTCATTTTTTCTGGTTTAGTGACAGGTCTACTCAGAACCAAACACAGAGCATCATGCAGCCTTCAGAACATAAAATGACACTGTGTTATGGTGACAAAAAAAAAATAAAACATTTGTCACCATAAATCAGATTACATATGTTCTGTACGTAAAGAAATCATCACTTCCTTGTTTTTACTGTTCTTCAGTCATTGAGCTTGGTGATGTTTCAAACTGTTAAACACTGCCACCAACTGTTCAGGAGGATTATTACACCCCTGAAGGTTGTTTCACTGTGGAAGGGGGGGGGGGGGGTACAGCAGGGTGGCCACCTCTGGCCACCCCCTGGCTCCGCCCCGGCTTCCTGAGTAATGTGGAAACCAAGCATGGCAGCACCATCATGGTGGCTCATCTGGAAAAGCTTCTTCAGTTTGACACGACTCTGACCGTTTCCCACACTTTTCCTTTGAGTTTTTATTTATTTATTTATTTATTTATTTATTTTTTGTAGATTCACCAAAAAAGCATTTCAGCAGCGATGAAGTCTTTCAGAATAAACAAAGAACCAATGAACATGAACCATTATTTCTTGCTCATCTGTGATTTCCTCACAGCTGCATATTTGTGTTTGTTTATCTCAATCATACCTTTTTTATTTGAGATGAAGGGGACTTAGTTCTTCTTAAATATCTGATTCATGATGTAGTTTTATAAGACTTCAAGTCTTATTGAAGGTCTACTGCACTGGTCCTCCATTCTGGTCCTGCAGGGCCACTATCCTGCATGTTTCAGTGCTCCTACAGATGCTTGTTAATCCCTCATTTTAAATCAGGACAAGGTCTAAAACAGGGGTGCCCAAACATTTTCTCTGAGGGCCAAGATTAAAAACCATTTCCCCTGAAAGAGCCAAGATTAAAATCAATCAATCAATCAAGTGGTGGGCCAAACGCAATAATACATGAAATGCAAAGACTTCAAGTTGTATTTTTTATGATTAAGCTAGCAGCCAGTGCAACTGCCCATATTTTTGTTTGTTTTTTCAGCCCATGGACATGGAGAAAATTCAACATTTGCTTGGGCAGCAAAGGCTCATGGGACTTTTCATAATTTAAAATTTGAGTATATGGGGTCTTATAAGGCGTGCATATCTAGAAAGGGACTTAAATCCAATATAAATGTCTCTTGAAGTTACTTGTATTTTAAGTTTAATCTTAACATAATTCAAAGATAAAGTGAGTACCATGAGTTAAGACTATCTGACTACAGCTCCTTGTACCTGTAGTTGGACCAATGTTTGAAAAGACTAAGTGCAAAAATAGTATTTCTACATAAAACAGGAGATTACAATCTAGTAACCAGGATAACTGCTAGTGGGCCAAATCAAATGGGTTGGCGGGCCAATTTTGACCCACGGGCCCCACTTTGGGCACCTCTGGTCTAAAGCATGCAGGGTAGTGGTCCTCCAGGACCAGGACTGAGGATCACTGATCTGTTGTATTGTCTGCCTACGTTACAGTAAAGAGTACTTCAGAACAAATACAGCTGACTGCATGTTTTACTTGTCTTCACTTGTTGCCAATCAGAGGAAACGTTGCATAACATTAAAAACAGTATTCTGCTGCTTCACAACAGATCCTATCTCTACAGCAAAACATTAGCGTTTAATTCACCATTACACAGTGACAGCTGTGCCTTCAGTAGTTTTAAACATGATTAAGTCAGGCAAAAACAATAAACTGGTTTTGAACAAAACCACAAAGTGGACAAAAACTTCACTTGAAGGAAAAGAAAGCTGGCACACTGCAGAAGCCAAAGCAGGTGACACATAATTCAGACTAAAGCCCAAAAAAGGAAACGCTGGTGTGCACCGACATGTTTGACTCACAACAGAATCAGGAGTCAGCAGCTGATGGAGGAAACGGAGTGTGGAGGACTCACACTGTAGTCACCTCTGCTTTTATCCACCGTGTAGAAAAACAGCAAGCAGGACCATCCAGTGACTGTAGGACGGCATTAAGACCAGACTGTCCGCAGTAAACACAGCTAAAGCCTGCTCTGGTCTCTGATCATCAGGATGAAAGAAGGGTTTCAGTCTTTACTCAGAGGGGAGGTCAGTTATTCTTCTCTGCTTGTGATGAAGACAGGAATGACTTTACTTTAATAAAATGTGTTCATATTTAACATTAATCTTCTGTTACAGTTGCAACAACAACGGAGACGACACAAACAGCAACTTCTACATCAAGAGATTCAATTCTTTGAGTCACATTTTGATTCGATTCATTTTGATTCAGTATTGCTTTAAATTCTTTGATATTAATTTCATAACAAGTATTCATTCATTACAGTCCCTGTGGATGTATTTTCTTGCCCATATAAACAAGAGAAATAAAATATGTGATAGTCTCACAGAGAAAACTGATTCTAAGTAAAACATAAATGTAGACACACCTCAGCTGTAGACCTGGTCATACATACACATCTATCATTAGCTATGTTTACATGGACATAAGTAATCGGATTAAATGGCCATTCAGAATAAAAATGCATCATGTAAACAGCCCATTCAGATTATTCTGACCCGAATCAGCTCAATCCCAATGAATCTGTAATCAGAACGAGAGAGGTGGTTTATGATAGATAATCTGAACAGCGTGCATGTAAACACTTAATCTGATCTTATTCTGACTGTGGAAAACTGACCTGACGGCTCAGGTCTGCTGACTGTCATCCAGCAGTTTCTGCTATTTTGTGGAGGGAGGGAGTTTCCAGCAGCACAGAACTTTTCCTCCTGATCTATCATTCAGCAAAGAAGGAAGACACACAGCCTGCGCCGCTTCATAAATAAATTAAAAAATAAAGTCCGCTCGTCACCTGCAGCTCAACCAGAGAGTGCCGTAACGTCTCCACCATTACTAAACCCAGTGGTGGGCAGCGCTAATCCAAAAATTAGCTCCACAATATCTAAAGCACTTATGAAAATATTTAGGTCCGCAACTTCAAAACCACTTATGTCATAGAAAAACTAGCAGAAGCTAATTTTAAAGCACAAGTTCAATTTGACACTTACTGCCAGACAATTCATGTATAATATATGTACAACACTGCCAACTAGTGGTGTATGAATCATTTTACAACTTAATCCTACAACCACTGATTGCTGGGGATGTGATTTCCTGAAACAGACCTTTAGCTCCTGGTGTAAAAATTAAAAAGTTGTTGAGGATTGCTAGTTCGGCTGCTTCTTTGTCTTTTTCTTTTGTTTGTTGTAGATTTTTCATTAAAGAAGCATCAATAAAGTAATTAAAACTGTTTATTGGGAAAACTGAAGTGA